AAATCCCTTCTATAATGAAATTCTGACATACAAAAAGTTGATGTGTTTATTGTATGCAGGGAGGAAAAGAAATTACAAGACTTTTTTATTTGGATAAATACTATCCATCCCACAATTAAATTTTCTTGTAAAAGTGATAAAGATTCCATTACTTATTTAGATACCATTATTTTGAGAAATAAGTACAATCATTTGGCAGTGAGAAATTATAAGAAATTAGTGAACAAAAATACCTACTTGCATTATAAATCATTCCACCCACCATACTTTAGGAAAAGACTTCCATATAGCCAGTATATTCAGATTAAGAGGAATAGCTTCCCCAATGGATTATAGAAATACAAGCAGGGAACTTACTAAACAATTTTTACAACATGGCTATCCTAAGAATACCTTGGTTAGAGCAAACATTAGAGCATACTCCATAGGTAGGAAGGATTTATTTCAGACTAAATATATTAAGGGACTGCGGTGGCTCAGAGGTTAAGACACTGAGTTGCAGATCGGAAGGTCAGTAGCTCGACAGTTTGAGACCTGAGTGCCGCGTGAGGGAGTGAGCTACCATCTCTCCCCCCAGTTCCTGCTAGCAGTTTGAAAGCAAGAAATTGCAAGTAGATAAATAGGTACCACTTTGGTGGGAAGGTAACAGCATTCCATGTGTCTCGGCATTTAGTCATGCTGGCCACATGACCACAGAGAAGTCTTTGGACAATGCTGGCTCTTCGACCTGGAAACGGAAATGAGCACTGCCCCCTAGAGTCGGATTCAACTAGCTTTTGAGCAAGGGAAACCTTTACTTTACCCTTAAACATATTAATAAAGACAATCATCTTACCTGTTCCTTTGAGTACCCAAATAAAGCCATGGCCATAAAGAAAGCAATAGAAAAGTATTGGCAGACAGTTAAACATATTCCTGGTTGTGAGTTGCCACCAATGATAGGCTTTAAGAGAACTAAAAACATCTCTGATTTTTTAATAAGGGCTGATTTGAATGTAAGGAAACCAACAGAGACTCCAATAGGACAATTTAAATGTGGGGGTTGTCAGGCTTGCAATTCTGGAAGTGACATACCATTAGATCCCACCTTAGTACTATTAAACCTATGGCCAAACAACTCTTCTTCAACATCACACAGAAAATTGATTAATATTCTTTTCACCGCAGCAAAAATTGTAATTGCTAAGCAATGGAAGGATATTAATCCTCCTAACTTACAACATTGGCTACATAAAGTATGGGATCTTTTCATGTTAGAAAATTTTAATATTTTTTACACGGAAAACCAAACAGAATGTGAATTTATGAGTCCACTTCATATCTGGTACCCCATACTCGACAAAATCAATATCGACAAATTTGACTGTGAAACAATTCGAAATGTTAAATACAAACTCTTGCTTTATAATTGATATTGACATACTTTTTATAAAGGTTCAAAAGCTCAAAGTGAGCAAGTTTACATGATATGCTAATATAAGCTCATTGTAACCATTTTCTTTATTTGCTTTAGGAAATATTGTTCCTGTAATATATTTTGTCTTGGTGATTTTAATAGGGAAATAGTCTTTTTGAAACTAGTATCTCACCATGTATAGAGACTTTCATATTGAAGATGTTAATCCTTGTTCAATATTCTTAATAAAATTTATATTTCAAAAAAAATGTCAGGCTTGCAATTATGCACTCACTTCAAAACAATATACAGATCAGACAAGTGCAGTCAAAATTAGATTAAACACTTTTAATAATTGCAACAGCCGTATATTTGTGTATCTAATGTTATGTCCATGTAAGAAAACCTATGTTGGCTGTAGTATGAGACCAGTTAAAACAAGGATTCTTGAATATGTCTCATGAATACGTTCAGGTTATCAGGAGGCTCCTTTGACAAATCATTTCATATTGGAAAAATATGATGTGGAATCTTTAAGATATTTTGTAATTTACAGATACATAGGTAATGAATATAACTCTGTGGATGTACAAAAACATTTATTGCAAATAGAGGCTAAATGGATTTTCAAATTGAAATCACTATATCCTACAGGACTGAATCAGTCTTTAGACTACTCATGTTTCTTGTGAAAATGTATAAGATACATTGTTTTCATTATTTGGAGTATACTATATAGATGAACTACTGCCTGAAATTGACTGTTTCTTTAAGAAGAATTTGAAAGCTACCAGCAAACGCACCTATGAACCTTTAAAAATATTTTCAGAATGGTGAGCTGTGACGCAGCTTTTCAGCACGATCCAGCACAGAGGATTAGGTCCTGATACTCAACTGATAGGTAAAAACCTTTTTTCTGGTTCAATTGGTGCCTTGATGATAGCATATATTAGCAAGTGTCTCTTCTCTTTTCAGAATATCCGCTTTTGAAGCAATCTTTCTTCAAACCTTGAGAAAGCTTTGAAGCGAAACGTGGAGATATTAGGCTGGCTCACATGCTGGGTAAAGAGGAAAAGAAACTAGGAAAAGCTGCAAATATATTGGTGGACTAATTTGCAGTGATATATATATGGAATCGTATTTCTGAAAGTGTTTACTTTAGAGTCACTGTTTTGGAGGAGTAGCATTCATTTGCAGAAAAAACTAATCAGGGTTTGCTCACTACTCCAGAGTTACTATCCTCTATTTAAGTCTATATTGTTACAATAGTCACTTGCCTATACAATTTGTAAATTGACTACTTAGATATAAGTGAACAGTCTACATAATTTGTAATTGGATTACTTAGATAGATAAGAAAATAATATATGGATGGTATTTTAACTATTTTGATATTAGTTTCACAGTTCTTGTTGCTGGTGGAATTCTCTGCTTGGTGACATCCGGACCTTGCGGGAACTAAAACAGTTCCGCAGGGCATGCAGGCTTAGGGTTGAGGACAGCAACGGTTACCAGCATATCTGGCCCCATTATCTGCCCCCCCCCCCATGGAGAGAAGAAATATATACCATTTAATGCCATCCAGGGGTCATTTTGTAGAAAAAGAGGTGCATGAGCTCATTAGCATAACTCATTAGCATAACTTATTTGCATATGCCACACACCCTGACATCACCGGAAGTGTGTCAGAAGGTAACACCCACCACTCAGGCTCTACTGGACTGTTTTGAATTGCTAGCTATTGGAGGGAGGGGCATGTGCAGATCTGTCCCTCACAGAGGAGGGAGAGCTTGTACCTGAATAAAACCTGGTCTTAAAGGTGCCACTGGACTGTTTTGGACCAGGGGGCTGGGGGGGGGGTGCTCTGCAGCTTGCCTGACTGCTTCTTGCTCTGACTGAGGGCTGCTGGGAGCAGGGGGTGGGGCTTGTTGCATGTGCCCACCCCCCTGGGCTCTTTACTGCCGGAGCTCCGCTCCTGTGCGCTCCTGCAGGAAATGACCCCTGATGTCATCTATAGCTCAGATTGCACTATTTTAAATGGTTTTTATCTTGATTAATTGACTTAATTTATAACTATTTATAATTTTTATTATGTAAATTTAATTATAACATTTTAGAATTGTATTAGAATGTTGTAAACTGTCCTGACACTGGTTAAAGGGGAGGATGGTTTAGAAATCAAATAAATTAATTAATAAACAAACAAATAAATGTATTTTACAGCTTTCAAGAGATTTTTCCCAAACCTGCTGGTGCAGTCCATTTAAAGGGGCTATGCCAGGGAGCCCCCCAATCTTTGGAGAAGTTTGTTGTGGTTCATCAGTTCACAAACCTTGGTTCGCAAACTCCGAACTGGCCAAAATTTATGACGAACTTGGTTCATCAGCCGGTTCATGCCCATCCCTACTCGGAAGCTAAGCAGTATCAGTCTTGGTTAGTACATAGATGGGAGACCACCAAGAAGTCCAGGGTCAAATTTGGGGAAGTAGGAAGGAAAATTATATTTTAAAATGCTGTAGAATGATTTGAGCCCTAACCAGGATGGTCCAAGCTAGCCTGATCTCATCATATCTCAGAAGCAAAACATGCTTGGCCTTGGTTAGCACTTAGACGGAACACCACCAAGAAGTCCCAGGTCATTAAACAGAGGCAGGCAATGGCAAAACACCTCTGAACATCTCTTGCCTCACAAACCCCATGAGGGGTCGCCATAAGTTAGCTGTGATTTGATGGTACTATACACACACACACATGCACACACAGTACTGGGGATATGTGATGTCCCCAGGATTACAACATCAGACATAGTATCCTTTCTGGAAACACCAGGAGACACCTCAAAAATACATTAGGCAGTTGATGGGACTAGAAAAGCAGGCTACTTTCTTCTTAGAAGTTACTTTGTTAACTAAAGCATGGCTGGACTAGATTAAAAGGGGGAACGACTTATCAACCTGTGCCTGCCCATGTTCCTCAGATAAACTGTAAAAAAAGAAATAATTGTCATGAAATTCCTAGGTGTCTATCAATTTGTACACCAAAAATTGTATACTGCATATTGTAACCAGTGTTCCCTCTAAGCTGAGCTGATGTGAGCCAGCTCACAGTTTTTTAGCCTCCAGCTCACACATTTTTTGTCTTAGCTCAGGAAGGATGGCTCCAGAGCAAACTAATGTATGCGGTAGCCGAATTGTTTGTTCACAACTTTAAGGTTGGTAGCTCACAAAGTAGAATTTTTGCTCACAAGACTCCACAGCTTAGAGGGAACATTGATAACTGACAGGTTGTGGGTTTTTTTAAGTGCTGCATTCCTCAGCAATGTTTTGTTTGTTTTGCAATTAAGCAGATGATAGTTGAATGTTGAAGGCAAAATGCTTTTTCTTTGTTTGAATTACTTTCTATATTTGCTTGCCCTTTCATTTCAAGTGTTCTGAAAATCTATGTCATTGTCCAGGTATATCTTGTTTATCATTTTCTATAAGAATACATTTGAATATAAAGCACTACTTCTTGTTTTCTTCATGCAATAGCCTTGTCAAGAATATTAATCCAGCAAGTTTTGCTATTCAAGTCAAAGGCTCCCTCAGTCAGCGGGCGTTATTACCTTGTAAACATGGATATCCTTCTGATGCTTCGGTAGACCCGACTTGATCTGAAACTGGGCTTTGTAACACACTTCTGCCTTCTGTGCTTGAATTGGCCATGTCAGGACGAGAGGCAGGAAAGAGCTTCTCCAATACTTTTCTTCTGAATTCTAAAAATGATAATAAATAAGTAAAATAATTTAGGTGCTACAGCTGATTATATAAATGCTTCATTTTTCCAATCTCAATTCTCATGGTGTTTCCATAGTTCTAAATACAAAGATGGCTTTTGGGGAGACTGTTTCACTTGCTTGAGATATCTAAGTTTGTGCAGAGTTCAGACTTCACTATCAGGATCCCTGCAAGTCTGCTGATCATGAATGACATTACAGTGAGAACTGACCCAACATACAACTATCCTACACTAATGGAGCTGATTTATGAAACTGTAACTCATCTTCATGGAAACAGGTTCTCATCTGCATATACCAGTTGAACAGAGAGTGATTCATACCATACAGTCTTCTGCGCTACAAGCATCTTTTTCGGGAATGAGCAGCACTTATCTGTATCCTATTTGCTTGAGTGTTACCCTCCATCTGAACCAGCTCAAAGCCTATCCACAGCTTATAACAAAGGCCACTTGGTGATGTTCTCATTCATGCACTGTGTTCCTTGATGATGGATTTGGTAATAGCTAATTGAGTAATATTTTGTTGTACAGGAAAAAGCCAGAAGCAAACAATTTCTCTGCTGAAATTTAACGAGCTCCACTACTTGACCCACAGCCATATACATGGTGTGCAATTAGGGTTGCCAAATGAATTTTGGCTGGGAGCGGGGGGCTCCCGGCCGGCATGTAACTCGTGCGCGCGTCACCCGGAAGTGTGGGGTTTTCCCCGGGCCCGATTCCACGCAGGGCGGAAGTCGGGCCTTGAAAGTGGGGGGAAATCTGCCCCCCGGGGGGATTTGGGAACCCTATGTGCAATTCCAAGGAAAAGTGTTCCAAAAGAACATCTAATGTCATTTAAAAATTCACGTCACGCAAAATTTCCATTATGTTATACAACTGGGGACCCATAATATTTGTGGGGAGGATTCCTCCCCCCATCTCTGACAATTTCCATTAAGGCTCAGGGGGTCGGAGACTCACGGGGGAAAATCCCATGTCCCCATAGTGGTTCCAGGCCCCACCGGCTACCTTTAGCCAGCAGTGACAGCAACAGTGCCTGGGAGCCAGTCTGAGCCTGAAGCAGCTCCCAGTGGCTTCCACCGTTGCAGCCAGGCCCAGAACCACTCTCAGGGTGCATTCAGATGCGCCATTTGATCTGGTGTCGTGCCAGTTCAGAAACGGATTTTATACGCGCGATCACACAGTCAACATCTGCCTCCCATCCCCAGCCATCACTTTCTGGCTCAAATCCCCTTTAAACTGGAGTATTTTGTTACCAGATCCCCAAGTGGTGTTTTCCTGATTTTCCGTTTCCAGCCACATTTCCCCCCTGTGTGATCGCTCCTTCGGTGTCGAGCCACTTCCGGTTTAAACCCCCTCCCCGCTCGAAAGCTGCTCGAGGCTTCCGCTTTTCACCCACCATTTTTTTAAGCATTGGCGGTGTGCGCATAGGTGGAGCTCGACCACCGCGTGATTAAAAACAATCTTTAAACGGTGCCTAGTTTTAGCATTTAGACGAGTTTGGGATCTCACGGAGGCCATTTTTGGGGTAAATGTTTAAAGGGAAGTGTTCCTTTAAAGTTTAAAGGGAAGTGTTACAGCAGTCGGGTTGAAGTGGAAATCGCTGTTCTGAGCATGTGTGAAAATTTTAGTTCTACAGATGGCTGCCTGTGCGCATGCCCAAACTGAGAGAGAGAGAAAAACAACACCGACGCACGCTCCCGTCTGCGGACAGCGGGGAACGATGTGGCTGCGCAGCGATCCGGAGCAAGGAGATGAGTGTGATCACGATTCTCCAGGTTAAAAAAACCCGCATTGGGGCCGGAGCAATTTAAACCGCTCCCAGCACGCCGTCTGTCCGCACCCTCAGAGTACTCTGCTGCAGCAGCTGGGCCCAAGGTGACTCTCAGATGCTCTGCCATGGCAGCCAGGCTTGGAGTGGCTCCAGGAGTGCTCCATTGTGGCAGCTGGGTCTGGAGCCTCTCCTGGCAGCTGCTCCCAGCATCCAGCACCACCAGTACCACTCAAGGAGTTGGTCTCAGCATGTGCCGCAGTGGCCAAGCCCAGAGTGGTTGCCTCTGCGGCCACCAATTGAACTGGTAAGAGCATTCTCTGTGCACTTACTTTTCGGGGGATTTAACACCCCCATGCATTTTTTTTAACATTTCAGATTTTTCTGCAAACCTGGGGATCCCTCCAAGATTGCTGAAAAATCCGTTTAGTATCTGTGCTGCCCTGATCTGCAGATTTAGGTATCTGCAGATGGCAGGCACATACTGCTAATCGTATATAGACAAGTGGGAACCTTGTGGGGCAATCCCTCTTCCTGTCCTAATTAACCCCCATCGGTGCTTTATCCTTGGGGCCTCCGCACCTTTTGCTCCCCCCCCCCATGAGCTACAACTCAGGCAGGCACAGCCCAACTCCTGGCTTTAGCCTGATACAGCTTCTCTCCCCCCCCACTGCCACTGCTGTGGCTGCTGTGGCTCCCTTCTCACCCACTACTGCTAACCTTCCAGCCCTGAGCACCTTCCAGCCACAACTACCGGGCCCACTGTCATCTCTATGGCTGCCAAGGCATCCCCTCCCCATCACCAACATCTCCAGTGGCCCCAGTGCAGCTCCTAGCTCTGCCCCGCCACAGCTTCTCCCCCTCTCCATCACAGCATGTAGCCCCTGCTACTGGGCCAGTGTGGCTTCTTCTCCCCACCATTACTGCAGCTGCTACTGCCACTGCTGGGCCCACTGCAGCTTCCCCCTCACTGGTGCCACTGTTCTCGCCTCTGGGACCAGCTTTTTCTCCCTTCCCCATCAGCGATGCTGCCGGATCTGGAGTAGCTTGCTGCTGCTGTTGCCAGGCCGGCATTAGATCCTGGCCATAATCACCATCGTGGAGGAGGTAGGTAATTGGGTTGTCTGACTGTGCACAGACAGCCCATCTTTATTTGGGGGGGGACTTAAATCTCCCTGCAATGTATTATTTAAAAGATTTCAGATTGTTCTGCAACCATGGGGAGCCCCCCAAGTTTGTAGAAAAATCTCTTTACTCTGTGTGGTCCCAAATTGCAGATTTAACCGTCCATAGGTAGAGGCTGCATGTAGCTAATAGTATATAGATAGTCCAGGTTTCTCTAGAACCCCAGGCCCCGATCAAGCACACCCATTTTTTCTTTCTTCAGAAGATACTTTCCACAGACACCACTACTGTGCTCCACAGACCATCTACCAATGTTTTCAAATATTAAGAAAAAAAGGAGCCCTTTTCTGACACATCATGTGAAGTTGTCAATGTTATTCTTAAGATGCCAGAAAACAACCAGTGTGACATTTAAACAGAGACCTTACCGGGGCAAAACTGCATGAAAATTTGTGCCCAGGCTTTTAAAAAAAAAATCTTGTTCTTAGGTTTTCCTTGTTTCTTCCTCTAAAAAAGCATTGTTGGAGTTTGTTAAACCTCTTCTGTGAAGCTTGACTATAACACTCTTCTCTGTATTGGTGCTGTCATAATCCACTTTCTGAGGATTTTCTCCCACTCCAACTCTAAATGTGATTCTAAGCAACAAAGCATGGGTGTACACAAATGTGCAGGTGTGTTGTGGCAGTACATGCTGTGAGCACAAATTGCAATCACATACCTCTGTGCAGTTACAAATTTTCCCTTAAAACAGCCCAAGAAAACGAGCTGTTCCCCCCATACCCCACCCAAGGAAACTATCTATTAATGGCAAAATAGTAAGCCATCTAAGAAAAACTGTCAGCTTCTTCTCAGAAGGTGTAGGTATCAATATTAAAAACCTAATACTCAATTGTACCTCATTTTTTAAAAAAAGATATGATTTGGAAAGTGTGTCTAAGATATTTACACCTCTGAGGTGATTTTAAAAAACAAGCTACTACCTTTCTTGAGTTGGAGTGACTTTTTGCTAAAGGAAATGGAGGTTATATAACTAGGAAAACACTATTCCCGTAGAAATCTGTTAAATAAATAATCCACTTTCAATTGGCTTTTAAGGCATTTTCCAACTGGATTTTGCCAGTTCACACAGTAGAAATCCAGTTTGAAAATGGATTGAAAGTGGATTATTTAGTGTGTGTGACCGCAGCCAAAGAGAATTTTTCCAGCTGTGCAGCCAAAGAAGGCTGGTCCTGACTAGGATACTGCAAAACTTATTAATTAATTAATTAATTCAATTTGTATCTCAAGGCAGGCTCAGGGCAGCTTACATTAAAAGTTAAAATACATTATCTTTGTGAACTTTCTGTCAATATTAATTTAGACTATGGGAGTTTCTAAATTGTTTTTGAAATGAATGAAGCTTGTGTCACACGCCCCAAGGGTCCCTGCAGGTGATCCTCCGGTTGCTGTGGCTCTGACGGGGTTCTTCCGGGGTAGAGGTGCTTTTCCGCCTTGAGGTCAGTTCATCTGGCTGGATTCTCGTCCTTCAGGGGAGGGGGGCTTGGGAGGCACAGGGGAGCTTCAAAGGGACCGGGAGAATGAGAGGCCTCAGCCTTGGGGTCCGAGGGGCAGTTGCTTCACCCCTCTGGGTTTCCCCTCTGGAGTCCGTCTCTCTCTTTTCTCTCCCTTACTCTCGCCCTTTATTGCTCGCTCTGACAGTCTCCTCCTCATCGGCTGGCTCCCCTCCTCTTTTATAGCTCCTCGGCCATCCCAGGCTCTCCCCGTGAGCTAGCCCCGCCCCCTTTAAAGGGACTGACACGGTCCCACCCTCGCCGGGCCCTGCCCTCACCCTCCGGCCCGGCAAGCGCATCGAGGAGCCTGTGCTAAGGCCCTGGGCTCCTCCTCCCTCCGCCTGCCCCACCTTGCCGTCCCTCCAGTCGGCCTCTCCCGGGACCTGGCCTGACTCCCACGGCTCGCCCCATGCTCGGGGCCAGACCCATCCCTGGCTCCCCACCCCTTGCTGCTGCAGCCTGGCTGCCTCTCCACAGCATCCCAGGCCCGCGCCTCCGGCCACTCCCAGCAGCTCCTTTGGCCATCC